TCTGGGTTACAGCGATATCTCTCGTGGCTCCCAGGACACTCTAAAGGACATGATGTGCTAGGGATCGCGTTCAATGATTTAGAGACATTGCCCAATTTAATCTTCCCTCCCAGTAATGTGACTAGGGCGGTATAATAATCCGGGTCAGACTGCCGCCAGAGGAAATGCTGCCTAGCCTCGGCTGTTTCCTCAAACGTTCAGTAAATAGGTGATGAGATGAATATGAGAAATTCTTTCTCATACAGTGTTTCCCTAGTCTTTCTTCTCAACACCCTTGGACCCAATGAAAAGAAAAAGCAAGCCCCTGCTTTTTGCAGTGGTATCATTTTATGACATTCTATGTTTTCACAAATAGGAGATAGTAGATGTCATTAAAATAGATTTTTTTTTTTAAGAAATTGACAGTAAATTGGGAGTGCGAACCTTTACAGTGCCCTTTAAATGACATTGGGTTGTTGGTTTCCTTCCCCCTTTTTTTTTTCATTTCTTTCTTTCTCTTTAATTTTTTTTTTTTTTTTTTTGAGTTGGAGTCTCACTCTGTCGTCCAGACTGGAGTGCAGTGGCTGCACCCAGCCATCGCAGCCTTGACCTGCTGGGCTCAGGCGATCCTTCCGCCTCAGCCTTCCGAGTAGCCAGAATTACAGGCGCGCGCTACCATGCCCAGCTGATTTTTTATTTATTGTAGAGATGAAGTCTCGCCAAGTTGTCCAGGCGTGTCTCAAACCCGCGGGCTCAGGCAATCCACTCACCTCGGCCTCCCAAAGCGCGGGATTATAGGCTGAGCCACCAAGCCCGGCAATTTTTTTTTTTTAAGATCGGGTCTCAATATATTGCCCAGGTTGCAGTGCAGTGTAGTGGTTGTTCACAGGTGCCATAATCAGGCAATACAGCCTTGAACTCCTGGGCTCAAGTGATCCTCCTGCTTTAGTCTCCAAGTAGTGCCTGGCATTCCTTTCTTATTTATTCATTCTTTCTTTTTTATTATTTTTATTTTTTTGAGTTGGAGTCTCACTCTGTTGCCCAGACTAGAGTGCAGTGACCGCTCCCGGCCACGGCAGCTTCCACCTGCTGGGCTCCGGCGATCCTTCTGCCTCAGCCTTCTAAGTAGCTGGAATTACAGGGGCACACTACCACGCCCGGCTAATTTTTTTGATTTATTGTAGAAATGAGGTCTGACCAAGTTGCCCAGGCGGGTCTCGAACCTGCGGGCTCAGGCAATCCACTCACCTCAGCCTCCCAAAGCATGGGATTACAGGCTGAGCCACCGAGCTCAGCTCATTCATTCATTTTTGAGTTAGAGTCTCACTCTGTCACCCAAGCTGACAGCAGTGACACAATCATGGCTCCCCACAGCCTTGACTTCTCAGGCTCAGACAGTCCTTCAGCCTCAGCCTCCCAAGTAGCTGATACTACAGGCATGCACCCCCACTCCGTCTGGCTAATGTTTTTTTATATTTCATAGACACGAGGTCTCACTATGTTGCCCAGGCTGGTCTTGAACTCTTCCCAAAGGTGTGAGCCACTAAGCACAGCCTCCTTTCTTTTTTACATATTTCTTACACATATTTGATATGAGATAGTATATGATATTTTATCTATGTCTTATCTACATGTTGCATAGGAATAATCAGGTGTCCACCCTTGTAAAAACCAACTCCAGATACTAAAACTGAGCTATCTATTTAATAGTCATAAAGTCAAGGAGGTAAGGTGTTTACTGATGCTTATCTCAACACCGAACCTTTTTTCCCACAAACTTACTATTGCTGAACCATTTCACTTGGAAAGTAAAAGGACTACATATTTCTCAGTGAAAATATAACACTTTCCATGCAGGTATGAATACTGCCCAGTGTTCCATTTCAGGGTGGGAGATGGAATAACCTTAGAAAAGATAAGAACCTCGAGGTTTAAATTACACTTATGAGAGCTTTTGGAAATTTGTCAGGTTTTGGGGGGGTAGGCATGATAGAACATGGGTGTGTTTGACAACCAACATCTGTAACTATATAAATTTGCAATTAGAGTTATTGTTAAAATTTCATTTAAAAGATACCTGTTTGAAATTAACAAGGGCTAGGGACTAGACCATTATTAGAGGGCCAAATAAGAATCACAAAATGCTTCCTTTGCTATACTTTCAGAGGGCAACAGTGGGTTTTTTGTTTTGTTTCGTTTTATTTTTTCATTTAGGGGTCTCACTGTGTTGCCCAGGCTGAAGTGCAGTGGCACAATCACAGCTCAACACAGCCTCAACCTCCTGGGCTCAGGCGATCCTTCCACCTCAGCTTCCTGAGTAGGTGGGATTACAGGCACACACCACCACACCCAACTATTTTTTTCTACATTTTGTATAGACAGGGTCTTGCTTTATTGCACCAGGTGGTTTCGAATTCCTAGGCTCAAGTACTCCTTCCACCTCAGATTCTCAAAGCACTGGGGTGACAAGTGTGAGCCACCGCTCCTGGCCACAAGTGTTTTTTCAGCAGCTTTATTGAGATATAATTAACATAAAATTCACTGACTTAAGATGTGCAGTTCAATGTTTTTAGTATATTCACAGAATTGTGCAATTATCACTACTATTTAATTTAATTTAATTTAATATATTCTTTGAGTTGGTGTCTCACTTTGTTGCCCAGGCTGGAGTGCAGTGGCACAGTCGTGGATGGCCACTGCAGCCTTTACGTGCTACGCTCAGGTGATCCTCCTGCCTCAGCCTTCCAAGTAGCACGTGCCACCACACACAGCTAATTTTTAAATTGTAGAGAGGAGGTCTTGCCAAGATGCCCAGGCTGGTCTTGAATCCTGGGCCCAGGCAGTCCTTTCATCTCCCTCTCAAAGTACTAGGATTACAGGCGTGAGCCACCGCTCCTGGCTACCATCTAATTTTAAAACATTTTTATCATTCCCCAAAGAAAACCTGTACCTGCTAGAAGTCCCTGGTATCTCCTGCTCCCACCTCCCAGTCTTAGATACTAATCTGCTTTCTGGTCTCTAGTTTTGCTTATCTTGGACATTTCATATAAATGATATCATACAATACTTGGTCTTTTGTGACTGGCTTCTTTCACAGCATATGATTTTTTAAGGTTCACCTGTGTTGTAGCATGTGTCAGTGCATTTCTTTTTGTGGAGGAGTGATACTCCTTTGTAAGGATATACCACATATGCTTAACATTGTGAAGAACTGCCAGACTGTTTCAAAGCAGCTGCACCATTTTACATTCCCACCAGCAATGTGTGAGGGTTCCAGTTTCTCCACATCCTTTTTACAGCTTATCTTTATTATTATTATCATTCTAGTGGGTGTGAAGTGGTATCTATGGTTTCAGTTTGCATTTTCCTAATGACTGAGGACGTTTAGTATCTTTCGTGTGCGTATTGACTTGGCCATATATATGGACAGTATTTTGGAGAAATGTCTGTTCAGATCCTTTGCCTGTTTTTATATTGGATTATTAGTTGTTAGAGTTCTTTCTGTATTCTGGATACAAGTCCCTTATGAGATAGATGATTTGCAAACATTCTCTTTCTGTGGATTGTCTTTTTACTTTCTGGATGGTATCATTTGTACTTTTTGGTTCTTTTTGGATGGTATCAAAAGTTTTTGATACAGTCCCATTTATCTTTTTTTTTTTTTTTTTTGTAACTTGTGCTTTTGGTGTAGTTATCGAAGAAACCATGAGGGTCATGAAAATTTACTCCTTATTTTCTTGTATGAGAGGGTTTGTTTATTTTTTGAGACATGATTTCACTCTGTTGCCCAGGCTGGAGTGCATGGGATGATCCTGGCTCACTGCAGCTTCGACTTCCTGGGCTTAGGTAATCCTTCTGCCTCAATCTCCTGCGTAGGTGAACTACAGGCTCACACCACCATGCCTGACTGAGGTTTTGATTTTTTTTGTAGAGATAGCGTCTCACTATGTTGCCCAGGTTGGTCTCAAACTCCTGGGCTCAAGCAGTCCTCTTGCCTCAGCCTCCCAAAATGCTGGGATTCCGGGTGTGAGCCACTGCACCTGGCCATGAATTTTATCGTTTTCTTATATTTGGGTCTGTGATCCCTTTTGAGTTAGTTTTTGTGTCTGGTATAAGAAAGGCATCCAACTTAATTCTTTTGCATGTTGATAATCAGTTGTTCCAGCACCATGTGTTGAAAATACTGTTTCCCATTTATATTGGCATCCTGTGCAATTGATTTTTATATACTGTTACAGCTTTGGGAGAATTCAGCACACAATTACTTGGAGCATGTTGATTTATCTGAGAGAACTATAGTGAACAATTTCATGATTTTAGGGTACCTATAAAACATGTATTATGTTCTACCTTTGTCAGATGTGTTACCTTACTCAAGTTTTAAATAAGGTAAAGATGCTGTAGCTCTGTCTAAACTGAGAAATAACACACATTTTAATACAAAAGAATGTGGAGCTTCTAGATTTAGAGACTGAGTTTTCCTGCATAAGTTCTCAAATTGTTGTGAGGTATTTTATAACCTTACTATTAGAACATTCTCCTTTCCTGTATAAATAAACATTTGGTAGTCTCTAATATTATGATTTGTAGAAGAAAAAGATTTATTTATGTATGTATTTATTTCTTTATTTGAGTCGGAGTCTCACTGTCACTCAGGCTGGAGTGCAGTGGCACGCTCACAGCCACTGCAGCCTCAACCTGCTGGGCTCCTGTGATCCTTCTCCCTCAACCTTTCAAGTAACTGGAACTACAGCTCGTGCCACCACGCCCAGCTAATTTTTTGATTTATTGTAGAGATGAGGGCTCACCAGGTTGCCCAGGCTGGTCTTGAACCCGTGGGCTCAGGCAGTTCTCTCACCTCGGCCTCCCAAAGTGCTGGGATTACAGGCTTGAGCCACCACACCCAGCCTGGAAAAATATTTAAGTAATATGTTGTTAATTGGTATTAATTTAATTACAATTGCTGAACCATTATGTATTTTTCTCAGTTCCTGATTTTTTGTTTTTTTCTTTACAGCAAAGTATCCAGAGATAAAATCTTTGATGAAACCAGATCACAACCTGATATGGATTACAATCATGATGGTTTTCACACAACTGGTTGCCTTTTACTTAGTGAGAGACTTGGACTGGAAATGGGTCATGTTTTGGGCCTATGCCTTTGGCAGCTGCGTTAACCACTCCACGACTCTAGCTATCCATGAGGTGTCCCACAATAGTGCCTTTGGCCAATCCAAATCCATGTGGAATCGCTGGTTTGGAATGTTTGCTAATCTTCCTATCGGGGTTCCATATTCCATTTCCTTTAAGAGGTATCACATGGATCATCACCGGTACCTGGGAGCTGACGGCATTGACGTGGATATTCCTACCGATTTTGAGGGCTGGTTCTTCTGTACCACCTTCAGAAAGTTGATGTGGGTTATTCTCCAGCCCCTCTTTTATGCTTTTCGACCTCTGTTCATCAACCCCAAACCGATCACTTACCTAGAAATTATCAATACCTTGACCCAGATTGCTTTTGACATTATAATTTACTACTTTTTGGGAATTAAATCTTTAGTCTACATGTTGGCAGCATCCTTACTTGGTCTGGGCTTGCACCCGATTTCTGGACATTTTATAGCTGAACATTACATGTTCTTAAAGGGACACGAAACTTACTCATATTATGGGCCTCTGAATTTGCTTACCTTCAATGTGGGTTATCATAATGAACATCATGACTTCCCCAGCATTCCTGGAAAGAGCCTTCCACTGGTAAGAATTTGATACATACTTTAGTATCTTGATGGTTGTATCATTAAAAGTAGTTATCACTCGCTCAGTTTGAAAGGAATCTTAAGTATTTCATCAATCTAAGTTGCTCATTAAAAAAAATATATTCCCACGTGCAGTGGCTCATGCCTGTAATCCCATTACTTTGGGAGGTGGAGGCAAGAGGTTTGCCTGAGCCTGTGGGTTTGAGACCAGCCTGGGCAACATGAGGAGACTAATTAAAAAATTAGCTGGGTGTAGTGGTACACGCCTGTAGTTCCAGCTACTTGGAAGGCTGAGGTGGAAGAATCACTTGAGCCCAGCAGGTAGAGGCTGTGGTGGCTGTGAGCAGCATGCCACTGCACTCTAGCCTGGGCAACAAAGTGAGACTCTGACTCAAAAATAAATAAAAAATAATTTTAAGCCGGGCTCGGTGGCTCAGCCTGTAATACCAGCACTTTGGGAGGCCGAGGTGAGAGGATTGCCTGAGCCTGCGGGTTCGAGACCCGCCTGGGCAAATTGGCGAGACCTCATCTCT